ATGTAGTCAGCAATCAGGGTGTTGGTTGCCTCATCTTTAGGCATGGCCAGTGTTCCTCCTCTGTCCCTGCAGTGGATCAAGGCTTCTCTGTAATTCTTCTCTTCTTTCACGATGTAATAGAATTTCTCATCTGTCTCCCTGATACCTGCTATAACTTTAAAGGGGAAAAAAACATTGCTCAATGGTATGTCAACAGGCATTGAAGGTGCTTCTGTTCCAGTATGACAATAAGGTTTTTACATTAGAATTAATAAAAGGGAGAGAGGAAAAGCATTCCCACCACTGAATTTGTGATGAATGATGAGGACATAATCAGAGACTGATGCTACTAATGGGACTTACAAGCACCTTGCACACATTAGGACAAGAACTATTCAGTCCTGATTGGCAATGTGTCTCCTGTGACACTTAAGTTCACTTAAGTAAGATACTTCACAGATATCTAGTATTTAAGTTAAGTAACTACACTTAAGTAAGATACTTCACAGATATCTAGTACTAATCAAATTAATGCATGCTAAATGGACAAATAGCAATGTCTGACTCTGGATCACTCCCGTTGCTTTGCATGTTCTTGAATACAGATTGTGAAGGAATGCGCTGGGATAGAAACACAGGGGTATAGATAACTTAGTGGCTACAGCAGCTCTGAATACTAGAAGACTAGGAAGAAAACTGTGGCTGCTCAGCAGGTTTAAAGGGCAAACTTCTCAACCAGCATATGTCCTAGTTAATTAAGCAGTGCCAAGGAGCATGCCTGGGCAGCTGGAAGTTGATTGTCCCTGCTGATGGATTGCTGGAATGGTCCTGAGCAGAGCTTTGGCCTTGGGCAACTAACACTCTCCCAAATGATTCAGGAGTTACTCCCCAGGTCTAGGAGTTAGTAGAGGGACACTCCTGATAATACAGCATTCAGTTTTGTAGAATTTAATATTACAGATGAGGGCTGTTCGGTGCTGGTTGCCCACAGTGCCAGAGTACAGTCTCAGACACATTTAATTTACTGAAACAGACTGAGTTCTAGAAGAAGTGGTGGAGCCTTCTAAAAATCTCTGTTACACCGGGAAACAAGCTTCCTTCCCTTCACTGGGGGCAGTTTGCACCGTCCACCTGACAGCGCTGTCTGCAAACATGGCCTCTTATAACTCATGTGTTGGTCCCTTGTTACAGGACAATGATACAGGACTGAGGGGAGCGCTAGGAGTGCCGTGTCCGCAGCCTTCCTGTGCAGCAGAAAGATCAAGAGGTTCCTATTTCCTCCCCCACCTCTCTGGAGCAGATTGGCAGAAACTTTTTCCTTTCATTGCCTGAGGGGCTGCTGAGCCTGAGCAGACTGGCAGCACAGAGGTGGTTAGCAAGCTGTGCCTTGTGCTTTTCACCATTCTTTATGTTGTGCTGTTGATCATTTCTGTATTCATTTTGCTTTTATTCATCTGCTGCTTATATCCTTACAGGTGTAAGACTTTCTCTTCTCTGTGTGTGCCTTGCACAGTGGGACCCTCTCTCTGGGTCATCTATGGATGCTACCATAGAGCAGCAATGGTAGAAGAATAGCAATGATAAATGTTATAGGAGCCAAATAAATCACATCTAATACATAATGATCCTTACCATTCTTTAGAAACTTGATGGATGTGTTAAGCCGAGCAACATTGATATTCAGTTGTCCAACAACTCTGCGGTATCTTCCACAGTCACAGACCGTGCCTGATAAATGCAAAGGACATAGGATTTTTCTGTTTAGAAGCACTTGTGTGTGTCTGTGTGCGTGGAGGGTCAGCTGTAGCCCACTTCCAAACCTTCTGAAGGCTTGGCCTCTACTTATGGACAGCCAGTCTCACTGTGCCCCATTGGCCATACTTCTCTTGATCAAAGCACTTAATATTTTGGCTCTGTACACTCCCTTGCTAACTGGCTTCAAGGTCCATACTTCAAAATATGTGAATGAAAGATTTGCCATCTTTCTTCCACCCATATCAGTGTAGAATTTGCGCTTCCTCTGCCCCTCTCATCATTGATTCCATCAAACTGCAGAGATGTGGCTTGTCATGCTGATCACTACAGCCTTATGTCTGAATGCCAAAGGTCTGCCTTCATATCCATAAACAGCACTGGTTCCCTGGTCTTCTCGTAGGAATAACAGCCTCTATGAAATGGGAAACTGCTTTTTTCTTCATGAAGAAGTTTTTTGAGTATGCATAGAGGTGAGACTGGCAAACTTTGATAGAAGGACCATGTTAGTGAACTGCATGCAGCTGTGGTACAGCAGAAATAGTTGATACTAACTCAAATAATTAATAGATTTCAAGCACTGAAGTCTCAGTTATATTTTTGTTGGTAAACTGAAATCTGGCTTGGTACAGGGTTTTTTTTTTTCCTCTGTTATTCTCAGGAAGAAAAATTGTTGCTGATGGTTTCCCATTAAGAACCAAACTTGCATTGCATATGAAATCTCTTAAAAATGAACAAAACTGTACATTCAAGGTGGGAAAACATTCAAGGTTATTAGGACTGAGAAGAAATTTATGGGTCATCAGATCCAAATTTTCATCCTGTAAGCAAACACATTGCATTCATTTGACAATAGATTATGCTCTACCTACAATCACTTATTTTTTTGTCCCTGTGCTCCTATTGGGAAACTCAATAGAGTTAGAGGACTTCATTCCTTTGGTATTCAGAAACTTTATTCTAGTTTCTAGTATAAATGTACTGCTGGCCTGTCTATGTGTTAGTTTTTATGATATCAAACATTGCCATTAATTTAGGTAACTGTTCTCCGTATTTTGTGTATGTTGGTATAAGCATAGGCATCAGCCACGTCCTTACCCAAGCCATCGTTTTGCTAAACAAAACTTTTTCAGTCTCTTCTTATTCATTTCATCTCTTCTCAAATTTGTCCATGGGCCTCAAAATTTTATGAAACTCCAGAAAAACCAATCCTGACATCAAAGACCCAGCAGACTTGACCATTCTGCAGAGAAGGATGCATAGTATACCTGCTTTTCCCTTTTTTCCAGAAACCCCTGGTAAGCCTTTGGTTCCTTTGTCACCTGAATAAAGAGAAAAATATAAGCTCAGATCCCAGACAGTGCACATGTCAGCGGAGCATATTTGAAAAACCTGTTTAATAATATATTAACGGTGTGCTGCTGATAGGAAGCCCTGATGTACTGTACTGGCAGATGTGCCAAGTCAAACAAACTGTGATTAATTGTGGTGTATGAAAATAAGGAGAACCTTTTAATAGGTAACTCACTGATAACACAGGCATCTCGTGTGCTGCTGGTTCCTGGTACCACTTGCTTTAAATATAAACTGCACAATGATCCCAAGAGGCTGGAAGCACTCAAGAAATCTGCAGGAGGTGAGACTTGGGTTTTCTCATTGCCTTGCAGGACAGAGCTCTTCCCTGTGTTCAGTAGCTCCATGATGGGGTGAGCCACCAGGTGAGGCTGATGTGCACGAAGCCACTGAATTCATGTGTGCAACAGATTAAGTGTGCGGGCAGCAGTTAGCACCTGCACGAAATGAGGTCAGTAAGGAGCAGCATTCATTTCAGATATCGCTCATGGAAATGTGATTTATTGTCATCCAACTGCTTTCCCTTTCTTCTGTAAGTCATAAAAATAATAGAAATACTTCTTCAAATGCTGTGCTGCTGTGTAAGTGGAGGTGACCAGCTTTTAAAAAAATCCCAGCTGTAATGTGGATCAGAACAGCTGGACTTTATCTGAAACTCATGTCAGCTCTTCTTTTACAAATTAAAACCTTCAGAGGTCAAAAAATGCTAATGCTTGCTCAGCCTTTTTGATGGCCATGTTTTGATGTGCCTTTTCCTTTACATGTGTCATATGTTGTGGTTTTTTTAAAAGAAATTAGGAGTTGGCTGTCATTTTAATTAGCATTGTTTGACACTGCACACTTATAAGCTGAAATTTCAGGGTTGCTTCATTAAGAACTCGGATGTTTAATAGTAGATTTAAACAGTGACTTAGTGACCTTTGCTTCTGCAAATAAAGAAATAAAATGAGAAAAAACAGAAGGGGACAATAAATTGTACATTCAGGTTGAGAGCAAGCTTGATTTAAAGGCTCAGAGTATTGGTTTACTTGTAGATAAAGATAAGTGATTTGTGGGATTCTTAAATTCTAGTCTCCTTTGGTGACTGAAGACATCTTAGGAGGTAGGTATGGGTGTTTTCAGTTGTCTGGTACTTCTGAAAATTAGTCCCTCAGGCCAAATTCTTTTGTTCTTCTCTGATACTGAGACTGGCTAGAGGCCATCAAAGGTTTATTAACAACATTGGCTTGAGAAGCTCCCAGGAGAGGTTGTTCCACCCACTCACCCACACGCCTGGGTTGATGTGCTGGTTAGAGACCACAGAGTTCCCCTGGGGATGGTGGAGTCCCTGCTCAGCTTTCAAGGCAGGTCTCCTTGTGGCAGTAGTAATATTCCTTCTTAAGTAGCTCTTCAGGAATACCGGAAAGGAATGTCTGAGCCTTTTCTCAGGCAACCAGAGCATAAATTCATGAAATTATTGTCCACGTCTCCTACAGCAGTGCAGGTGACAAGGGGTGGCATCCTGAGCAGCAGCAGAATACTGACTGAGGCCTTCAGCGTCCAAAGCAGAGGCACAAATTTGGCTTTCTCTTTTAGAGTGTTCAGAGAATTTACTTCACAAGGGTCGGATTTCTCCCTACCTCTTTTACCATCAAATATGACTGATTTTTTAACTCATAAAGCAAATTAGTTTAGCCAAGTAAGTCAGATATATTGCATGTGGGAAGTAAAACACGAATATCTCAGTCAGCTGTTGTCACCTATCTTTATGCATAACTTTACTTGGAGAGCATTGGTCACAGCTGTTATTTGATATTACTCCACACCTGGAACTCTCACAAAACACATATTTACTTTGAGGGAAAAAACAAGAAAATTCCCAGACCAGAGCTTACCCTTTCCACCAATTGGACCGATTTTCCCAAGCATTCCCTGGTCACCAATATCCCCCACAGGTCCTTTATTTCCTGAGAGAAGAAATAAGACGAAAAGAGTATGGATGGGTTTTGTCCATTTAGGTCTCTACTGCTGCTGTTTTTCCTGAGTGTGGCCAGTCCACATGTGTGGCAAAGTCAAAATGAGTGGAGCCCTGTGAGGATGGTTGGAGGAGGACAGCACAGATCTCTGCTACTGTAAGATACAACAGTAGGACCTTGCAAGACACCTTAGTAGAACTTCCTGTTCAAATGCCCAGAAACTTCATATTTTTGTACAGAAAATACAAACAAAAACTGCTAGTGAGTATTCAAATACTGATTTTACTTCACAGCCAAACCAGGCCGACAGCAGGTTTTATTTGTGATTTCCCCCCCCCCCAGACGAAAGCCTTTCCTTCTTCTTTGAGGCTCAGCTGGGAATCCTTCTCAAAGCAGAACTGAAAATAGGGATCTACTAGTTGTGCTGTATGTGCTTTCCCAGTCCTCAGAGCACTAAAATAATGGATGCCTTTTTAATTGATTAATAGTTTAAGTTCTGAAATAGCTGGCTAATGATGACAGCCCAATTTAGGGAGTCTCAGTTTGCACACTGAATTTAACATCATTAAGATGCTTCATAAATGGTTGGTTACCTGATTCCATTCTATCTTATCTGGTCTTCTTTTATAGGTAAGAAGCAAAGTCATATGAATGCACTTAAAAATCAAAAAGATTTTGTAGTATAGCAATAGTAACAGGGTGATTTTAAAGTTTCTATAAAAGTAAAAACATTCCCGATTAGTCTTACTGTCAAGGAAGAAAGACCATGGATAAGTATTATCATTAAACTCTAATGACAAATTAAGCTTTTGAGTTAGAGTATGCAAACAAGGCTGACACCATCACATCTGGTGCCTCCGAATGCTCTGCCCGGCTCACTGTGTTGATACGGGGTATGTTTAATAGGGCTGAGTCCTGAGACATCTGTGACTCCTTGTTCTCAGATGCTCATTGATGAGAGAAACTTTTTTTCTCAGTGTGTGCCTCTGTTTGCTTTACTGCAAAATAGGGACAACTGAGACTGAATTTTGTTGAGCATCCTGATATATTACTAGGAAGTAACTCTCAAAATTCAGTTTCAAATAAAGGATCATTTCAATAAGAGAACAGTAATCTTTCTGATTATACGTATGATGTGGGTAATGATTATACATATGATCTGAATCTTCTGGATCTCGTTTATGACAGCCACTTGGGAGAGCAGCAATAAATGTGACTCTATATTATATGACTCTAAATGTATTGCTATATATAGCTGTCTTGCGTATCGGTAGGAATTGCATCAAGCTCTCCGAGTATTGTTAGGTTCACTGATTAATGTTTGACAGGATTGTGAAATCTACTGATGCAACAGGAATGAAAAGCATTAAATGATCATATGCACCAATACAGTGATGTATAATGATATTCATATACCAGTAATAGCCAACAAACTGTCATAAATACCTTTTGGTCCTTTTGGTCCAACCTTCCCTTGTTTGCCCACTTCTCCTCTATCTCCTTTTTCACCTTCATCCCCTTACAAAAAAACCAGAAAATAAAGTGTCATGGTACATTTCTCTCAGTGCAGTAAGTACAACTATACATCCTCAGAAAGTAAAGTTCTCAGTTTTTTTACTACTCATTTCTTTTTATTTCACATTGAAGACACAGTAGTCGTGGGATAAATTTCCAGTGAAGAGCTGATGAATCTGACCATCATTAGGAAAAGCTAAAAACATTCCCTTTCAGAGAGGCTGTTCCAACATAAGCACTATACAATACCAACTTCTGTTCCTGCCCTTTAAACCGTATTAGCCATAAAGCAGTTAAATAATCTAGTCTTCCTCTGTTGGGAAACCTGTACACCCATGGAAGAACTGCCAGGGAGGCAATAGGAATTTATTAATTGTTCCGAGTGACTGTTTGTAGTGACTCTGTGTTCAAGGTATGCAGATGCTTTTGGAATGGGAGGAATGTAAATATGTTGAAATAGATCTTAACATAGACCTTAGCACGTAGTACTGCAGAAGTCTTGCCTTCGTTTTTTGACAGGTGACATTTATATGTTGATATAACAAACATGTTTTGCAATTACTCCAGTACTTTATTTTGAAAATGTCATATGCAGCTTATCTGTAAAGGGTAAATTCATAGCATTTATTACAGTAGAGCAGAGATTTCTCCAAATGAGATCAAGACCCTATTACACGGGTTACTGTATGGTACAGTATAAGTACTCTTACTATTGTAAGCATTGAGCAGCTTAGGATCTTAAGGGAGCAAGACAGCAAGTAATAGGAAAGAAATGTTATCTCCTTCCTTAGGCAGCATATCATTTCACTTGACATGATGCAGGAAATCAGAGGCACAACTAGACTTGATTTTCTTGTCTTCTAATTCTTAGTTTTGAGCCAAATCCCAAGAACATCTTTCCTCTTTTCTTTTTTTTTTGACAAATGCTGGGGGGATGACGACCCTTGCACCAAACGACCAGCTCTGAGTACAGGCAGCCTTCCAAAGCCTCTCCCCCTGCTCCATACTATTGTTTGCAATAAACCTTGCCGTGTGGTGGGAAGCAGTGCCACAGTCTCTTGGCCAAGCCAGGATCTTATGCGTGAGAGGCAGCCAGTTGTGTCTATGCCCACAGCCCAGCAAGGGAGAAGAGACTGCAGTTCAGCATATGGAGACCCGAGATAGGGAAGTCTGTCTGGATGTCAGCAAAAGAGAAGTGATGACAGAAGAACAGCATTTCGTGACAAGACCAATAACCTGTCTCACTGAAGATGGTGCCTCCAGCCCTGGCAGAAGGTGTTCAGGGAACTGGGTGTGCTGAGGGTGACTATGACCCAGGCGGGCAGTTCCAGCCTCTCACGAGCAGTGGTTTAAAGTGCTTGCCTGAGCCTAGCACTGCATCCAGACCCCTTGTGAGCAGCCACTAGTGACTCTTCCTTGCACAGGTTAGTCTTGTGCCTTTTAAACTCCTTTATATTTTTGGCCCCTATAATATACTCTGACAAAGAGGTCGATGATTTAATTATGGGCTGAGAGAGAAAGTAGCTTTCCATGGTTGCTTTCAGACTGATCGTTTCATTGGATCTCGTTCTTATTTTCTGAAAAATAATGCCCACTCATTCCTGATTTACCTTCTCCTACTTCTGTAGCCGTAGGTAGCATATCAGGGGCTGTTCTGTGGGGTGATGACAGATGTGAAGTGGTGCATATTAATTGCAGCATATAAAATGTGGTATTAGCTGTTTGGCTCCTTTCCATGTCAGTTATGGGGCCCGAGCTGAGTCTGTCCCATTATGCCAAAAAAGCCTTCAGTTTCGGGACTCTGTTGTGGAGGACAGATTCACAGTGTCAGTCAGGATGCCCTATTGGGGAGGATGGTCAGTGGTCCAAGATGATGAAGATAAAGGGCTCAACTTCAGTCCACGATAGAGGGAGGAAGCATTTGCTGGAGGGATGGACAAGGAGGAAACAAGTGCTGGCTCACTCAGGCGCTTTGTTTGTTTTTAACATCAACTGCCACAGGATAAAGTAGAAAGGAGAAAGGCTATAATCAAACAGCAGTAGAAGTTTTAAACATCTCTATTTTCACTGGTTCTTAAAAATACTGGAAAAGTCAGTATATATTTCCAAAAGCCAAGCTTCTTAAGTATCCAGCTGAAGCTGTGGGTCTGAGCCTGGAGCTGATGGAAGGATGCCTGCCTGTTGTACTGGGTTGTTGTCTACAGCTATTAAACAGCACAACCAGAGAATGTACGATTTAATTTTGCTCTTGACCTCAGCGCTAACAACATTTACAACTGAGAAACCAAGAAATTGTCCTTTCCAAACCCATCTATGAAACCCTTGAGAAAAGTGTAAAAGTCACTTCTCAGTAGTTCAGAAATTCAGAAAAGATTCCCAGAGGCTGACAAAGGGCTTGTGAAATGAAATTCCAGGAGGAGGTTAAGAGCTGATCTGATCACGGTCTGCAAACCCATACAGGGGGAGAAATGTGTGATAATAGAAAGGAAGCAGGGTGTGATTCAAAGGCTGGAAAAGCTGGATGAGTCCTGACTAGAAAGGAAACATTGGGATATTTAACAAATGAACTGCACTCTCCAGCAGGGAAGGGAGACATAGGAGGCTTTGATGTCCAGCCTTTCCCAGTGCGATGAATTCCTTTGCGTAAGATATGCTGTAACTCTGGGTCTGGTGTAGAAACTGCTGAGGGAGTTTCTTTGGCCCGTGCCTTCCAAACCAGGGCTTGTCACCCTGGCAGTCCTCATCACCTCCCTCAGGCCAGGTAGCCACATTCCCTGTGGCTTGCAGGCTGCTCTGATGGGTTAAAGGCTCTAGAAAGACTGTTGTTTGCTGCAGAAGGAAGACCTCTGGGCAAGCAAGATGCTTTTTTGTGGGGTAAGAAACATTGCTTAGACCGTTAATCTTAGAAAGATAGCCCAGGAAAGAAAGTCAACAAGTAGAGAATTACTTTCCAAAGATGTTTTCTTCCAATCTCAGTTTCAACACTTCGAGCCTCTGAAATCTGCAGTGGCTTTTTCTGAGAGACACTGGAGCAAGCTTTTTGCACACAGGGCTGCTGGAGATGAAGCTAGGGGTTGCCCTGTATGGGCTGAGAGCTGACAGGTGAAAGGGGTAAAAGGTGTGGGAAAGTTTGTTTTGGAGATTTTGAGAGATCAGGGAGTGTCTCAACGTTTATTGCTAACACCTCATGTAGTCCCAATTTTTGCTCAAGCCCTAATAAAAGCCTAAGGGAGAGGAAACTAAGATCTATGACCTGTTTCATAGGCATAAAGCAGCCTACCACACTCTACCTTAGTTTCTCTTCCTAGGAAAATTGGAAGAATAATAATTTGCCTGTCTGTAAGGGAGGGAAATCCTGCTTTTCTCCCCTATTGCAGCTGAGAACGGGTAGGCCATTACAAAGCAAGGGTAGAAGCAAACAGTTTTAATTAGTGGTACCATCTCATTGTTAATTTATGACTGGATTAAGCCCAGAGCTCGATAATATGGTGTTATAAAAGCATTGTCTCCCCTTTTAGCTTTTGTGTGCAGTGATCTCATTTTTTTTTTTGCAAGAAATGTGAACTCTTGGGTTACGCTCCCCCCTTGTGGTCTCGCTGTAATTTGCAACGAAGTAGGAGCGATTGTGAGAGCTTCGTTGACTTTATTTTGGGCAGGGGGTGAGTTGGCTTCGTCTCTAATTTATCTCTCTCTTTCCTCTGGGACTTCGTGTGGACAGGACATCGTACTGTATTAGCCACTTCTTTGTAATCTGCCAGAAAAAAAATCTAAATCCTGCCAGTACTCAGGACTGGGTTTTTGAATTTTGTACTACTGTGATTTGTACAACGTGAGTTTTCTTACAGAAAAAAAACCCCTCTGCTCCCTGACCTCATGCGCTTGTAGTCTATACCTAGAGGTTAACCTCCCCTTGGTGCTGCTTTACACTTGGGGCAGTGTCAGGTTAAGTTTTAACCTAATTAGCATATTGTCACATTAAAATTGTGGTTGCAAGGATGTCATCTAGCGCACTGCACTGGCACCTGAAGCATAGGTGAAGCACTTGGAGCCAGTAGCTGAAGCAAGACCATTTCTCAACCCTGTTAGTATTCCCTCAAGCTGATTCACTTCTGTGTCACAAATTTAAAATACCAGATTATTAAAATGAACACATGGAACAATAAATTACTAGACTTTTCCAACTTGGGACTGTGCGAGACAGAAGGAAAGCAGAAGCCGTACACAGTAAATGACTTTTGCAGCCATTAGAAAATTTTAATCATAATTGAGAGGGAACCCCAGTCCTTCCTTGTGTTATAAACAAGCTCAGGAAAATGCTGAAGGTCTAATAATCAGCAGGATTTTTCGGCAGTGGAAAGGGGCTCTGCCTTTTTAGGAGTTTCACTAAATAACACAATGTCGAGAGGTTACATTTGGCAAGAATTTAATTGGTAAGAATTTAATTAGTAAGAATTTACTGACCTTCAAGGGACTTCGATTTCCCTGCTGAATCTTTTGTAGGTAATTTATCTGTTTTGTATTCATGAATGGAGGAAGTTTTCAGGTTAAATTCTTCACATATGTTTAGTAATTCTTCAAGTCTTGTGATCAAGTGCTGACCCCGGTTCTTGGAGAATCATGGTGTAATTTTGGGGGATTATGGAATCCACACTTATCTGTAGAGGCAGCCCTGCATCAGGGTGAGAGCAATTCTGCAGGCTGCCTAAAGGCTAAAGCTGGGAGGAGGCTTCTAGCTGGGCTTATGCATGTGTTTCTCTATGAGGATGTTGCCTTTTCACTTGGTGTTCTGCTGAGAAACTCCCTGGGTCCATGAAGGGTTTTACTGAGACACTTTGCCAGGTATGCTGGCAAGTCATGGCCTCAGGTCAACTCCAGTTCCTGTCTCCTGACCAAAAATACTACAGAAATGTTAATGCTTTCTCAGCCTCTCTTTTGCAGGTATACCTTTCCCCCACACTCCAAGGCATACCCGCTCTTTCAAATGATAGAAACACCACTTATGC